ATAATTCACTTTTACGATAACGATAAGTATTGTTTATTTAATTAATCGATGATATCATGTTCGTTTAGATTGATTTCTGGACAATCACATGATCATCCGGAGCACAACCTGGTACACATTTTCGATTTGCCAATTTTTTGGTTATGTTGCTATATTTCAAGCAAATAATGCATGTTTTATAATGTCTCATGAAATGAGGATGCTCCGCATCTAGCAATTTTTACAGATCAACATATTTAGGCGCAAAACACTACTATCAAAAATTAGTAATTTCAGATTTGGTGATCCGTTCATTCACGAATTAATTAGTATGAGCCAGGATCACTAGATCTTTGATAGCAATCATGAAAAAATGGGGCATACACTTCATAGATTTTTATTTTATATCAACACTTTTCTACCTATGTTAAAAATCTTCTAAGTTACCTTGAATTTTCAAGTTTATTAGCATTTTGATAAAACTGATCTTGAGCATGTTTCATTAATGGTCTACCTGATTGATAAAGTCATTTCTTCACTGCTTACTGGATTATTATAGTTGAATTTATTCATTTTTTTTATAAACAATATGCTCATTGGATGATAATAGTTGATTGATTTTTTATATATAAAGCTTTAAAATATGTTATTTGGATTAAAAATTCTCCAAATTCAGAATTATTAGCTATGGATTCATTTTTAGTTAGATTGTTTTTTATGCAAAATACTAAGTTTTTTCAATGATTCTTTCTATTAATATCATATCCTAGTATTAATAAACATTTACGTATATATATAGGTAGATGATACTTTGCAAATTATAATCAAGCTTCTGGTGTTTTAAAATTATTGATATAATTTAAACCATATTCGGTTAACATATATCAGGTATAATTATTATGAAGTAATAAGACTTCATCTCTATTTTTTGTTCATTCTTTAACAATATTGTGAATATTAAACATATTTGTATTTTAAATGTATAGAATTTATTAACTAAAACTTTTTATTTAATTGTTATATTTATTTATTATCAATTATAAAAAATAGATTTATATATTAAATAAAACAATTTAGTAAAATATTTATTTTTCTAAAATTTTGAATTGGATATTTATTCTTATTAAAAAAAAATTTTATTATAAAAAATGTTAATATTTTCATTTGGTATATTAAGTAGGCTAGACTTGATGATTCTGATTGTATTCTAAACAAATAAGTTGTACATTTTCTTTAATATGTCCCAATTCATTATTAATTCTATCTACTGTCTATTGGTCTAGATTTTTAGTTTTATCCCAATTTCATAACAATTCATTAAGACATAATTTATATTTATTTTTCTGTGAATCTTTTAATATAAGGATATAATCAACAGATAAGTTAAATTCACAACCTTTTTTCTTATCTTGATCTATATATCCTACGAGTTTTTCAGAAATAAATAGTCTTATGGATCATTCAATTGCTTTCTTATTTTTTGTATCTTTAATCTCAAAAGATAATAGGAGACCTTCAATTTGAATAAGTTGGCCCAAATATTCTACATGACCAACTATAAGATAAATTAAATTATCTTACGCCAAATGTTCATTGATAATCCAAACTCGTTGTGGAGCTTTAAGAGTCATTCCCTGACTGATATGAATGGTCATTGCATATCCAAGTTCCTAATCTATAGCCTTTTCTTTTCCTAACATGCTTTGTAAGAATTTATCAAAAAGTATATTTAAGGATAAGTGTATTATATCACTTTTTACTAGCTTCTTTTTCTCAGATGAGTTAGGGATTGAAACAAGACAGTTTTGTTTACACCCATCTTTTGGCCTATAAATTAATGGAATTGAAATTTCAAAATATTTTGTACAATGAAGCTTGAGACATATTTGTAATACAAGTCTTCGAAAAAGTTGATATGCTGATAAAATTTGATCTAAGGAAGACCATTTCTTTTTAAGATATTTTCATTTTTTTATAACTGGAATTGCTCCATAAAATAATTCTAATTGCATCTGATTATTTTTATGATGTATTCCTTTTTTGAGTTCACATAATTTAGAACATTTGGATCAATAATCAGTCAAAACTTTTTTATAATAATCAGCATGCTCTTTTAACCAATTATGTGACATTTCTTTGAAGAATAGTGAAGGTTGCTCATTATCACCACAACAAATTATTTAATATTTATGTTTTAACAAATAATTAATAAACATTTCAAGAATATGCTTAGAAACTATACATATCTCATCCCAAATAACAACTTGTAAAAATTTCTTCTCTTTCATGCATTCAAATGTTCACCATTTCATCAAAAGAATCTATGTTAGGTTTAGGCTTTCACATTATGTTTTTCTTAAAAATCTTTGGCTAATGCATTTGTATAAGTAAAAACAATCATACTTATATTTTTAAATATTCTAATTACTCATGTTGTTTTATCAGATCCTCCTTCTCCATTAAGATATAAATTTCAACATCTTGTAATAGGTTTATGAATTGTTGGTGCAATACTATCTGAATATCTTTGATCGATTCCTAATGCCTATTCTTTGGTTAGTATATAATATTTGAATTTGGACCATATATTTTTTTGCTCTTATCACATCATTGACCAGGTTGAATTTTTTGGATTTCTTGTTCTTCTGGTTGATGTAAAAGAGCATAAGAGTCTGATTTATATATCTTGGCATTAGCTCTACTATAAAACCATTCCTTAAATCAAAATCTACAAATAAATGGTTTATGCCTTTTGTAATTATATTTTGCTAGAGGTGTTTTAGTTTTTAGAAACTCTTTAATCCATTTTGCATATTTCAATTTTGAAATAAAGAATTCTTCTGGATCACTACATATTGCACAAGAAAAATAATATGAACATAAATTCGGATTTGACTTTACTTCAACTTGCTTGAAGAATGCTGGTATATTTTCAATCTTATATAAAGCATCTTTTCGTACATATATAGAATCTGTACTTACTACTTCATTAGGATCGAATCTCCGAAGTATCTTTAACAAATTAATATATGCATATGCTAACATTGAAGCCTATAAATGAGTATATTAAGGTTGATGACCCTCATAGTATGTAAGTATAAAACTGAGTAGACATTTCTTTCTATTAGCATATGTTCTCTCTTTAATACAATTCTGAATTAAGAAATCAAGTTTACCTTCATTTATTATGACTTAGTGAGTAAGTCATTTTTCTTCAACTTTATTTCTCTGTGTGAACTTCCTTATAATTGTGTAACTTATATCTTGATTTTTAGGCAACCATACCTTTGTTTGTTTGGTAAATGAAATTATTGCTTCTCTTATAGTTATACTTTCTAGAATACCTGCTTTGAGAAGATATTATAGAAGTACAATAAACATTCAGCCTTTTGCCTTTCCATATCCTTTTTTATTTCAGCAAGCAAAGTGCTTTCCATATCAAACAGGAATTACTGAATGAATATTAGAAACAAATTTAAAAGTTCTTACCTGCACAAATCCAATTATATTATCTTTTGATAATTCTCTATTTACTGCTACTTGAACAAGATGATGTGTTGGATGTCCAAATTATTCGAACTATAGTGAACACTCTCCTTGACTATACATACTAGCTGGATAACAAGATTTCATATTTATATATATAACATCTTGAACACAATAATTATCCAGCATAATTTGTTTCAAATATCTGTTCTGCTAAGTCAACTACTTTAAGTGATTCTAGAAACTCTCACTTTTTTTCTTCACTAATTATTCCTTCTTGAAATTGCCAGTTTACCACATCTTCAAATAATTCCTTACATGCATTTATGATATCTGTATACTTTTTCTATATTCTGAATATATGACCATCATCTAAACCAAAATGTAATATTATTTGGTTTCTATTTCTTACTTCTATAAGCCAGATGGTCTGAAGTTCTTAAAGAGCATTGTTAATAGCTTCTTAAGTATTATTCTTATAATATTCAACCATTCAGTCTCTTGGAAAATGCTGGTTTCTCATAAATGCATAACCATTATGAACTACCATCTCTATTTCTTCATACTTACCTAATCGATATTTTTTGCTATTAAAGATAGTGCTATAGGTTATATCAAGCAATTTAATCGGTTGTTTAAGAATTTTTTCCAATTCTGTTACATCTTGTACTCAAGCACCAGGAATGCACATCTTTTTCTCCTATGTATTAATTTTTTGCCAATGAGTTTCTGTGAGTTCATGCCCCCTTTTTGCTTGATCAAAATGCTTTATTACTCATTATACTATACAATTAAGTGCACCATTTTTCATAAGCATTAATCGATTAATATCTGGTACTTGAATTTGATACAATCCATAGACTACTGCATTACTATCAAGTTCTCCTACCTCAGATTGCCTACTGACTTCTCTAACCAGAAATTTTTCATCTATTCCTATCCAAAAACCTAGTTTTGTTTTCTTTGTAAGTATAACATTTTGACCACTTTTTATATATTTACTATTTGTCCTTTTTGACTTACAAATAGGTTAATATTTATCTATAATTTTAAAACCTCTTTTTGTTTTCTTATCTGATATTACTGTATCAGCTTGAATAAATTTTATTCTTATTAAATACTCACTATTATTAATTGCATTTAAAATTTCTTGAGCTTGCTCTTCAGTCATTCTAGCTTCTAATTTATGTTCTTTAGTATCTATAAACCAGGTTAAGAATGCATATTTGGCTTCATTCACTTTAAATATATCTTTTGCATACTGAATGTTATTTTGCCATCCTTCATGATACTTTTCATTTTCTGAAAATAGGATGAGCCAAGGTACTTCTATATTCAAATTTAGAAAATAATAAGTTTGAGATTCTGGATTACTAGGTTCACTAATATTTGATTCTATTAGATTGAATCATTCTTTATCTGTTTTAGGAACTAATTTAAATCTAATTTTTTGTTATTTTTTATTTCTAGTTTTGATAACTATTTTATTAGTTTATTTATAGTTAAAACTAATTTCTTTTTTTGCTCTCTATGTATTTGTGTTCTAAGACCTGGACCAGCTTCAGGATCTGCTTCTGAAATATTACCAGTTAGAAGATCAACTACCAGCATACTTGGTTGGTATATTGATGGGTTTTTGTCAAATAATATTAAATTGTCTTTAGAGACTAGTACTAAATTGTTTACTGAAGCTGGAGCTTGAATAGTATTTCCAGTTTGAGATATATTTTACACTTGCATTAGTTACAAGAGAGCCCAACATGGTCTGAATCATGTTAAGTTCATATGCTTATTAAGATCTCTTGTTTTCTTAGTTTTAGGGCTCTATCTACATCCTGGACATTTACTTATCATATTTTTCAGTGTTTTTTATTATATATTGATTATTCAGATCTTTTGTTTAAATAAAAAATATTTATTTCACTTATATATTCTGTTTATTTACAAGTTTATGTTTAGATAAGTATAGTTAACTAATTTTTTTTTTTCAAACTAGAGGAGAAAAAGAAAAGGTTTTATGTCTTGCAATTTTATTCTTGTCAGCTTCACCTTCTTGCAGATACTGTTTAAAGCTAGAATGAAACTTAATTCTATCTTTTTGCATATATGCTTGAAGTCAGAAAAAACTTGCAAATAAAAGATATAAAAATACACCAAAAAATTAGTACCGATTTTAATGATTTTTAGCTTTAAAAACTTGCAGGCTGAAAAGTATAAAAACATACCACAATTAGTCACTATTTTTTAAGCCTACCTTCTTGTGACTTCATCACTTGAAGTCAAAAAAAGAAGTTTTCATATAAATAATGATGTGATTAATAAGAGATTTATGTTTGCTTTGTCAGTTAAATAATGAGAGATTTATGTTTGCTTCATATAAAACACCAAAAAATTAGTATCAATTTTAATGGACTGACAAAAAAAACTCATGAAAAAAAAGATATAAAAATACACAAAAAAGTTTGCTTGCATGCCCTGCTGCTATTTCTTTTAATTTAGTCTTCTATTTAACTTAGTATTGAATATCTTTTTTTTTGGAATTTACTTGTTTGCAGCTTCAATTATAGCTTCTTCTATTGCATCTCACATTTGGTTCAGTACATCTATACTATATTCTATTTTTAAGTTATCATCTTTTAGTTGTTTTAACACTTTTTTCTACTCTGACTAATTTTGTAGCTCTCTTACATAGGCTTCTCAGTCTTCTTGTTTTGCTTCTTCATATAGGTATATTGTTCTTGTTTGGCCTTTCTGTTTAATTTCTGCCTTACTACTATTTGCAATTACATGTTTTATCTATAATTCTGTTGTAATTATCTTATGATCACTGTCTGTCAAACCTTTTGTTTCTTTAATATTGGATTATGTGATAAGGTAATAAATAGGAGTCTAGGAATTCTTATAGGGTTACATAATGCAATTGAGTATACTAGATTTATATAATTTGCATTAAGCTTAAGTTTGTTTGTGGAATTTTGTTGTTTTCTTCCTAAGAATTTTGTAGAAAGAGTAGCAGAAATGTTAAATGTACAGTGGTTTAGTATTCTGTTAGAGCTATGTAAGCATCCTGTACATGGCATATAATTAACTGATAAGAGTGAATAAAGGTTTGTGTTGAATGCATTTGCTTCAATTGTCTAGTATATAATGGATATGGTGTTGTTGTTTTGGTTATATTTGCATGCATTTTCTATTATTAATTGTTTACTATTGTAATTAACAGTAATAAGTCAAGGTTTTGATTTTGAATTGTAATGTCCAGTTGTAAAAGATAAGGAGTTAGTTTGTGAAAGACTCAGATTAGAGTTGAGTTTTCTATTAAAAAAATGTATAATAGTTTTTTTTTCTAATATTGTGAACCATTTTGGTTTATGTCCTGTAGAAATTTGTTCAAGTCTTGGTGAAATGTGTTTTTAGCTAAAAGTGTAGAGTTGTTAAATGAGGTTAATTGTTCAAGATAGAGAATGTGTTTAGTTCGTAATTATTTTTTGAAGTTGTTATATTCTTTATGTGTTTTAAGAATGTTTTCAATTAGTGTATATGGGTATTGTAGTATATATGATAATGTTGTGTGTGCAAAGATAGTAAATTGTATTTTTTTTTTTTTTAAATGTTAAGGTGAGTACATGTGATTCAGGATTTTACTGATAGTATAAGTTGGCCAGCATCTGTACATATACAGACACAGAAGCAATTACAGAAAGAGTATACAACTAACCATTCATACAACTTTAGTCATTGTCTAATTTAAGTAGTCTACCCAAAGGTTCTACAATAGTTGCTATACCTAGAACCCACCTGTAGATCCTCTATTTAAACATTCTGATCTTGCATCCACCACACCCTACCAGCAACTCCAGTAAACTGATAAAGATATGCTATAGTTACTAAGTCATATTTAACTTTGTACTAAATCTACCAGTGTGTTCTGTATCCTATACTTACAGCTCACCCAGTCATGCTTTGGTCTAAACCATCACTTGCAGTTAGATCTAACCATTAAACTGCTTTTACTCTTGTAAGGTTTACCCAAAACCCCGGTACCTATCTTTCCGATATCCTCTCCATCATCTTCTACTAACCGCTACTCAGAACTGACAAAACTTCCAAACTTCCAATCTAAATGGCCTGGTATGGTATATCTTAGTATCCTATTTCTTTAGTAATTCTGGCAGCCTGGTTGGTCATGTGCTCCTCTATACATCTTGTCATCTGGTTTATTCACCTATCCCTTTGGGGGTATTTTATGGGCTTCTATCAGTTTGACAGCACCATCAAAAGTTTTATGCTACTTTCTTACTTGAGATTTCCAAGTGGATTTCTGTCTCTTTGGTTCCTTTGCTTTCTGTATCTGATGGTCTTATCATGGGTTTGCACCAAAGTCTTATGCAACACCAGTTATTAACATTCCTCTATATGGGTATAATATTACATTTAGCATAGATGCCCCAAGCTCCTATTTAAGATGGTGCAACAAAGGTTACAGATATACCAATCCAACCAATCGACAAAGACAGTTATTGTAACACAGACCTATTTTCCAAAATTCATCATCCATAGGATTTGAATTCTAGACCTGCCACTTGGGGATTGACAACCTGACCACTTTACTAGGTTGCTACACTCCTGAAATAGTAAATTGTAGATGTTGAAGTGTTTTTTATTTGTGCCATCTATTAGTGGATGTGGATGTTGTAAAATATTAGTAGTAGACCACAGGTTATTTTGTAGTTGTTGTAATTGAATATGTGTACTAGTTCCAAGTAGATCTGTTGTGTTTAGTCAAATTAGAAAGTTGGTAATGTGATGTTGTAGCTAGATATTCTATATATTTTTGATATTATATATGTTATGGTTTAGCATAGTACTAGTTGGAGTAGTTAGTACAAGTTTAGATTTGTGTTTGGCAGTAATAAGATATCTAGATAAAATTTTGTCACATATGTGTTGAGAAAGTACTATATTATATATATGGTATTTGATAATAGAAATAATAATATTATTAATTATATAAGAAACTTGCTTGTTTGTTATTTGTTTAGTTTGAACTATATTTGTTAAACTAAATGTTTTTTATAGAATGAGTTTGATTATAATAACTTGTTTGTTAGTTGCAATATACCAGTAACCAAAAAATTTTAGGAGTGTATTAGGTTGTTGTATTGTAATAGTTGAGTTTAGAAAAGTGAAGGTGGGTGTGTATTTTGTATTAGATATTAGACTAGATTTTTGAGTATTTACTTTAATGTTTGCCATTTGGTAAAATGTAGATGCTACATTATAATATTTTGTAATTGCTGTTAAGATTCTGCTAACTATAATGTATCATCCATATATGCTAATACAGAAGTATTTGCATAAGTTGTTTGATACTTTGCAGGAAATAAAGAAGTTGAGTATGTAACTGTTGATGTGTATTCTTTGAATTTTTTATGTATGTGGTTGATGAGAGGGTCATAGTAGATTTACTATAGCAAAGGAGTTATGGTTTCTCTTTGATTAATGCCATCTTTTACTGAGTATGATAGTATTAATCCAAAATTTGTAATTATAGTCATCTCTTGCTATACCAAACAGGCTGTTTTAGGAATTTTTTGTTCAGTATAGATAAATTTGGTATATTATTTCTTTTTTTATACTGAATATGTATAAAAGGTTCATTATAAATAACTGATCAATAAAATTTATTCATGTAATTATATATATCATTTAAAACTCCTCCAGCATAGCCAACAAAAAGTCTCGAGCATATGATAATCAGCAATAAATTAACCAATAACTAATTGCTATTTGGTGTAATGTAGCATGATTAGAAAAAGTTAAAGCAAACATTCGCATTGCCAAAAATTGCTCATAACTCAAAAATCTGCATAATAAATCACCTTTTGACATTCTAACATAAAGCTTTTTTTTAATGATTTTACTACTATATTTCACTAATACCTATCTCTAAAATAAAACTAACCCTAATATAATCACATTTTCAATTGTTATATACCTAAGATTTTTTGTTGGCTATGCTTGGGAAATTTATCATTTAAGGAATTCTGACATATTTTATAGTTTTAATGATTGCTTTTATTTACTAAATACCAAATAATTTAATATTTTATTATAAGTATAATTTTTTTTTTTTAACCTTAATCAGTTACACTAGTACTTTATTAAGATTCTTGAAACTATATATATTTATAATTACATAGAATTTTCCAATACTTAAGTTTAGCATCACTCGGCCACCCTATTGGTACCTAAGTGCAACCTGCCACACTATTTTAGTTAAAGATAGACTGCTCGTCTAACTACTTAAAGCCATACCAGAAGGGTTTTCTACCTTCTGTGACAAGCATATCAATTGATTTCCAAGCTTCTTTCTTTATTCTGCTTATTTTTTCTGCTTTCTTTTCCTTTTTTTCTTCCTTTGTTACCTTATTCTTCTTTGTTTTCTTTTCTGATTTTTTTTTGATTCAAGCACCTTTTTTCATTTTGCCTGTTATATTAATCTTCTTTTCCCATTCTTGTACTTTTCCATATCGCATTTTCCATACTTGGTCATAGAATGTATTTTATACTGTTCTTGTTACTGTATCTATGCATTTCTGTATTGCCTG